GCATTCGCAAGTACAATATTTTCTGAGATTTAATAAAATAACTCATCTCTAATATTCACTTTAGATACCTTAAAATGAATCTCATGCATTATTGCTCCACTTATTTTCTAAACGCTTTGTTCAATTTTCTACTGATTTATTAAAAATCAAGATTAAAGGAGTTCACAATTAATTATTATATGAAAAATTAGGTATAGTGAAATAGGTTAATTGTCACATATACATACATAATATAGTTTATAACGTGATAACAAAATATCATAGACACGAGACTTAATAATGAATAGTTTTTGAAATGTGATGTATCAAAAGTGCTCAGTGTAAACACAAGTTTTACACCTTTTACACCTAAATTCTAAACAGAATCGTAAAGCTCGTAACATATTCTCGTAAGACTTATAAAAACTTTTAAGCGATCATATATATTTTTACACAATATTTTTACAGACAGCTTTTTACTAGGTATAAGATTTACAAGATATCGTAGATATTTACTAACAATTATACGGTTACATATGCATAAAATTAGAATACTAGTCATAAGTTCTTATAAGTTTTATTAATAAGTTACGAGTCTTACGATTTTGCTTAGAATTGATCATATTTTTAAATTATTGTAAAATACAACGATTTAAGAATAAACAAAAAAGATGTTTATTTTACATAAGTAAAAACTGATATTTACCGCTAGATTGCTCCGCCAGTGCTCGATGCCTCGTCCAGATCTCCTTCTCTCAGAATTGATATACTTTTGCACACTTGCGAATAATACACTATATCACGCGCGGACTAATTATTTATAAAAATCTTTCGCGCGACACTGGTATTTTGCATTTACAAAACCTATAATAAGATTTCCATTTCAGTCGGTGGAATCAGCACCACACGTCGACGAGTATACGCGAAACACGTGATAAATGCCGAACATGAGTTAAGCACACTAGAGAAGACGAAATCGATCGAGTTCGTCATCTCTATGTAAAAATCACATTTAAAATTGATGCAAGCATACGCTCTAACTACTTATAGTTCTGGTAAAACACAAGTGGGTGCTGTACCACATCTGAAGAGATCGGTAGACGTGACAAGCGCCTCTAACAATCTAAACAATCTAGGAAATGAGGTCCAACCCTTCGTCACGAGCAAAAAACTAATAGCTCTGACCAAATCAGATTAAACGCGATTGAGATGCTATAATAAATAAAGGCAGTGAAATGAGCGCTCTGACCAGAGTAATACAACTCCTTTTTGGACAACTCAGAGACGAATCCGAGTCAATCGATCGCATCTTACCGCTAAAGGCCGAACCGTTTGCCGACAGACAGAGCGTGTCCTCAATTAGCCAATAGCAACAGTAGTTGCTAAACCACGCGCGAACACTGCACTATTGCGGAGTGCGTGACATTACGTGGCCGGCATCACCTTGTGATGCCACTCGGAGCACCTGGTGTGAGAGTTGCAGTAATCGTGGTGGTCATTTCATGCAGCAACGTTTCAAAGAGAATTCCGCTTACTCTACAAAACATCAAAAATACGATTCCATCGTCAAACTAGAATTCCATCGAATGGGTTTTGTGAAAAGTCTATTAGTCCGATCATTTCAACGGCACTCCCGAAGCAAACGCGCGATGCGATCAACCCCGCGCGCTGCAGTTAGTTTACTTTCAAATAAATCGACGACGAGGATACGTTAGCTTCCCCGTTGTTGAATTTTTACATCAACACAACAATTTTATTCACGTACCTAAAAATTTAGCTAAATATATAACTCAGATAGTTCGGAAAATTTTTAGATACTTTAGAAAAAATGTTCTTTTTATATATATTCTCGGGGTACTATGAGTCCTCCCACCACGTCAAGGTCATACTCGTGAGAGGGGAAAATCATCTGAAAAATGTAATATACAATTGTCTGAATTATCTATATTACTATGCAGTTAACTTTTAAAAATGAATATCAAACACGTCAATTTGTCACTACTGCGAGATAAGTGCAAAGTAGATAAGAAGAGTCGAATTTCTTATTGTGATATCTATAAGATTAATCAAACGGGTTGAAATTAATAAAAAAAAAGAGAAGAAAAGTTCCTTTTATTACCAACAAATAATTTCAAAATTACGCTCAATTTTTTTATACAGATCGTATCACCAAGAATGCACGAAAATAAGAAATTAATTACGTTATTAATTACATACAAAGTACATTAATTGTGAAAGTAGGAATTACATGAATTGCATTATTTGGAATAAGGGTACTTATTGACGTACTTATTTTGTTGTTTGTGACTCGCGTAATAATCGAAACTTTTACGCAATCGTAAGAAAAATTTTATGTCAAATAAAAATAATTATCGTTCATAATAATTAAATAAAAATAATTATCACGAAATAATAATAAATCCCTCTTTGTCACATTTTGATTCCAAATAACATACGAATACATATCTGTTTCGTAATACAATCTCGATCCATTTATGAATATATAAATAGTTAACCGAGCGAGTAATCGTATGTGTGAGTATAAAGTATACAATGTTTTGTATTATCTAACACTTGTCTCAATTTCAAAAAGAAATGTGAAGACATCACCATGATACGGTTACCTGCCTGTACGAGCCTTTGTATGCGAATAACTACACGGTTTCTATGTGTAAACATGATTCGCTTGCCACGTGAAAACAAACCCTGAGATCGTGCAAACCGTCTAAATAATAATGCGTATTACGAGTAAAATAATCGTTACATTCTGAATGTTCTTCAACAAGTAGGTTTTATTGTACGATTTTTGCATTACTTCTTAGATTCACGTTACACAGATATTTCAATTGTATTACTATAAGCGATTGTTAGTTGGTGATAACTACGTTTCACGAAATCCATGCAATACTTTTTACAATGTAAACGATTGACGCATTACGACTTTTTATTATTTTTGAATTGTGTTTAATTCTATTATTTACGTTTTATTCCTCATTCTTAATCCGGGAAAAGTAATAAATAATCTAAAGTAAAATGCGAAAATATTTTTGTATTTACTCTCTATAATTAACAGGAGTCTAAATACTATAAATAACTGCATCTTCAAGAAGTCAACGTAAAATTAACGATTATTATTGTACTTTATGTGAGCTGAGAAGCATATCAAAGAACATCGTTAAGCGAGTCGGATTCTTCTTTCACAGCAAGACTCCTAATTCTGACAAATCGCTGCAACACTTTCCTGAATACACCTCCGGAATCTTTAAATCACAAAAGATCCACTCCGACTTTTCGTCTCGTGTCTCGTGTTTCCCTTCGCGATGCGCGTCGTATCGAAGATTTTATCTCGACGTTCATCTTACCCTCACTGTTCTCATTATATGTAGACAGCGATGTCTTAATAGCGCGAATTTAGCGAGAATTTGGAGAGCTGTCCTCGTAAGAGCGACTATCGATGGTAAACTCCGACGACGTGCGATAAAATGCTTTCTCCTCGCCATAAACGTCTCGCGTTATCATCGTTAGCGTCCTCATCTGTCGTTCCGCATCATTATCCACCACCCGATATTTTAAACTACAGCACACCTGCTATAGGAAGCGAGATTCACCATCGACTCAGATTATTCTCTTCCTGCTCTCTCTATGCTCTCACTTAAAATCTTATCTTGCGGTTGAAATTAGAGCCTAAGTACTCTCTTCCGTCATTTCTCATGTAGCAGATAATTTAGTTTTTTTTTTAATTATCGATAAATTGTTGTTAAATTGTCGATAAATTGTATTAAGCTAAAAATAATAATTCGTCCTTCTTGCTACATTAACTACAAAAAATTATTCTCTATTAGCACGTTTTTAAGAAATTAAGAAATTTAAATATGTGGTGACTTTAACATTAAGAGAAATAATGAAGTGTAATTTCATCTATCGAATCTCGAAGTGGATTAGATCGCCGGCTTGCGTAAAGTAGCCACAATGTCGATACGCCTGGCTTAGCGCCGAGACACTATCGTGTCTCCAAATACACTGAAGATATACGCTTCATTCAGAGGATATGAGCCTGCATATCGAACCTTTTCACTAGCGCGCCCAAGTTCCACCCAATTTAGTCAGTGAATGTCTCCACGTAATGGAAGGAAAAGACCCTCTCTGCGAAATGTCATAGTTCAACTACCGCATCTACCCTATACATGTTGCCCTATACATACTAGATACGCAACTCCTTGTCATTGCGCCTAGCTCTTACCTACATGCATTGTCGATTCAATATTCATTGGTATATAATGTAATTTATTCATAGTGCGTGTGGGTGTCTCGTCTCGTTCACTGTCGATATTTCGGTGTTATTTGCGATTAAAAACCATAAATTTCTTGTTTAATAATAGACGTATTTCAGAAATCTGTCTTTTATTTGCTTAACTTTTATTTAATATCTAATTTTTCTAATCTAATTTTGAATATCGAAATATTGCGGAATTTATTACGAAGTTATGAATTATTCTAAATCATAATTTAATCGATTATAGGTTATAGCAACATTAAACCAACTTTAAACGATCTATAATTCACACGTATATTATACTAGAATATATAATACATCATATGAAATTATAAATAGAATTCTGTCTAATTCTGACATAAATTATAGAGTATAGATGAAATTATAAATAGAATTCTATCTTGAATTCTGATATAAATTATAGAATGTTTAAACTGCATTTAATTAAAAATTATAAACTAAATTCAGATGATGAATTTGGATAATATTATCCAAAATAGTAACTTTAATTAAATTCCCTGTCCTTTGCCTTCCACGAGATGACACCAGTTGTTTCACTGCAAGGAATTGACGTGGCTACTAAAATACTAATACCGGCGAAAGGCGCTCGAAGCGTTCGAAATATGTCGTCAGGTGACGACCGTTTTTAATTAAATTTTTATTCACTACCATAATACAATCGCATATTTAATAACTAATTTCGGTACAGCGGAGTGAATTGTTTTATATGGAATAATTTATTTTGCAGCTGGAGCCGCTCCTGAGGAAACTAACCAAAGGTCCAGTTCTGCACACAATCGCCACTCTCTCACGAAGGGTAAGTTTAATGAGCACAATTGATTGCATTTAGGGGGTGTTTTCATTTGTTGTAATAAAATATTACAGTTTATCGAGCCTAAAGAACTGCCACATTGTATCTTAAAATAAACAATTAAATGATTTGCTATTCTGATTCTTAGCAACAAGCATGAATAAAAGCTCCAATTTATAAATAATTCTTTTCTAAATTTCTGTATAAAATTATGTAAAGAAATACCTTTGTTATAAATAATATAATGCGGTGTTTTTTGTGCTCCAAAATTTAATTTAATTTTTTTTTTTTTTTCGCCTCTCTTGTGTTGTAACCTGACTGATTTTCGTCGAAACTCTAAAGCGCGCCAGCTTGAGAACTTTTTATTACCTCGTAGCAAGTGTGATGCTCGATGTGATACTTCTCACGGTAGCTTTTTGATATTTACACGGCGGATTTGAACGCGATGCACTTTTTAATATCGCACTCCATATATCTCCTAACATTTCTGTGATGCTTAAAAGCACAGCTTGATCATTCATTTATGATATAAATAGTGACACAGACGTATGTATGTACATACAAATGTGTATATATATACATACAGGTCAGTTTTCATTGGAAAAGCTTGAAAGACATTTGACATTTTTTGAACATGTACCTTCAAAACACAAAAAGATATAACCGAATTGCTCGAAGTATTTAAAAGAGAAATATAAGAAACATCCACTTAGTTATAGCTTTTCTATATCCAATCTATCAGTATAAATGCTACGTTTAACATTAAATTATTTGAGTTGTAATAATATTAAGTAATTTGCTTCATAAAATTCCTCAGTTCGATTATTTTAAAAATTATTGGAACCATTTTGTAAAATTACGAGAATAATCAGAATTTATCAAATATTTTGTATATATACCTATGAAAAGAATGATTTGGGGTGTGTTGAAATATTTAAAAAGTTAGCTAAATATAGATTCGAAAATAATTTTTTGATCCATTAAAATAATTATGTAGCGTGCTCAATCTGTGGTTGTCTAAATTTTTTATAGTATTGTTTATCATACTTGAGTTTCTTACATAAGTATGATTCACACAACTAAATTTATATTTTAATATTATATTTTCTAGCTAAACTTTTAGATATTTCAACAAAATCGCTTTTTCTCTGTATAAATATAAAATTCTTGTCAAATTCTCCTAAGAATGTACGTTGCTGCGTCACCGAGATATTCAACTATCGATAACGACATTAATCTCGCGCGGGAAACCATGTAACTGCTTTCCAATCTGTGGTGGAACCGAGAGTACTATCGAGTCGTAATGAATCCGAAGTACGATCTCTGAATCGTGGTAGATAAAATACAATTTTCCTAGTTCGACCTGCGAAATGGTCACGAAGATTTAATAACGCTTCGAATGCAATCCACGCCTTTGTAGGAAACATCGTCGCGTTAGTTTAATTAATTGTGAAAAGCGCCCATGAAATTGCTAAAAAGTCCTTCGTGTGGCAGGAAAAATGTGCACAGGTGATAATGCATAAAAATTAAATTCGAAACAAAGGACGCAATGCGTAATTTATTATATGATTGTGTAATTAAATACGTCTCAGCATCTGGTATAATTAAATGAAGGCATGTCGAATGTGAGTGTGTGCATACGTGTAACTTGCACCAGATAATTTATTACACGTACAACATATTAATTTATTTTTAACTGTGTGCGGTTGAAAGTTTAATGGAAAGTTTAATTTGTCTCTTATTTTAATAACGGATTTCATGAGAATAATGCGAAAAAAGAAAGTGAGAAAATATTATCTGAGGAATATTCACGTGTATGTCTTTCCCTGAGTTACTTTCTCTAGTTTACTTAAAAATTAATGAAGCACTTGCACAATATTTAAAGTACCTTTGTTTAACTTGAAAGACAAAGAGAATTATCGAGGCTTTAAATTTGAAATATAAATATCGTCCGTGCTCAAGAAGCACGTTCGCTCGTTAAATTAAACACTAGTAACCTAGAGCATGAGAAATGAGAACAATTTCGATCGTTATTCTCGGCCTTTATTAAAAATTTACCTGCATATAAAACTGCTGTACGCACATAAAAAAAAATATATATTTTTCTAAAAATTTATTTTCTAAAAGTATATTTTAATAAATATAGTATATACAATAAATAGCAATTTATCTTGCACAAATGAAAAATTTTAAAAATACAAGTGTAAAATGATTGTCAATAACAAATCATGAAAAATGAATAACTTAAAATAAAAATTGTTCTGTTATTTACCAGATACTGATAATCATCAAATACTGGTGATTTATCTCCTCAATACTAATCCTTTTCAGACATAATTTATATGAATATCTAGGCGTCACCCGACGCGGTAATTATCGCTTCAGCAAACGTGAAAAACATGATCATCGATAAGAAAACCTCGTTATTCGCGGCAACACCTCATGGATCATTCGCGTGACTTCAGCCAGCGCATATCTATTCGCATTTTACATCGCCACTCGAGCAAGGTTGGCGAGATAGAACAGTCAAGTGAATGAATGGCGGATTCGAGAGGAAAAGCCGAGTAGGTGGAAAGAACTAAAGAGAGAGAATTGGGAAGACAACCTCCACACAAAAGCAACGGATTCCATCAAGAGATGGAAGCGACGGATTCTATTGTTTTCCGACCCACTTCCAAGCGAAGAGAGATTAACAGAGCCATGTGTATCCACTGACGGATTTTCCAGCGTTTGAGCCTCTAAGACGACGATGACGAAGGTTATGACTGCAGCTGCATGATAGATAAACTTCCGTTAGAACAAGCGCATTCCTCCGGGCGACAAATCGCGACGACGCATTATGTTCCATTCATTAAAATGTCTCGATTATCGCATTGTCTGTATATATCTATCCTTGCATCTTAAAATTGCGAATATGTAGTTGCAAATATTTTCGTAATAAGGATCGGGATTTTAACGAATCAAATACCTACTTCCTAAAATACCGCATGCTGTGTAAACGGAAAGAATAATTTTATTGAAGTATTTGAAATTTTAGATATATACAGATCTGAAAATGATTTTGATTGGCCATCAAAATAATTATGCGACGCTCAGACATGATGAACAATATGCTGTAAAAAACTTTTAACAAAATCAGCAAATATTCTAACAATTAGCTTGAGCGACTTACATAAGTATTTTGATGGTCTAACAAAATTATTTTCAAATCTACATCTATAACTAAACTCTTAGATACTTTTACAAAACCATTCTTACCGCGTAGAGAGCGGTTTATTGTATTGAGAGACTTCTTTACGCTTTATTAAAAAGCAGTTTTTAACGATCTTGCTAGGCTAAAATTATATAATTTCACAGAATAATTTTTTTCATTATATGGGTATACCATTTCTTTAATATTCTGAAAATTTACGCGTATTTTATGTAAAATGTTTATGCAAAATATTTTTACGCTTCTTCACAGTTCGTTTCTAAGCACTTCGATTTCTTACTTAATTCCAATTCTTTGTACGTTGTATTTAATGCGATCGCATTGTTCTTGATGCGCTATTCCATTCCCTAAGTCAAAGACGAGAGAATTAACGGCGATATTGTGTGGAGGACAGCTTTCAAAGAGAGGGATGGATCGAGACGCATTGTGCGTTTCCGAATAATCAGGGAGATTAACAGCTTTGGGGATTGTGTGCAATATCAAACCGATCCATTTTGCATTTACGTTCTCCTGAAAAACGATGTTCCAACGAGTATTTTTACCTTTGCTCTGTCTTTAGAAGTCTTCCATGGCCAAATAAGAAAAATCTTTTTGATTGAGATAATGGATAGAAGAAAAGAGATCTGACGCTCGCTTTGTAGCAAATATTTTTCTTCTTCTACTTTTTATCCGTAAGAATTACGATTGCATGCTATGTGCCTACAGTATTATATTAACGTTGTTTATCTGATTATAAAACTTTGATTCTTGATTAAATATGAAAATACTAAAAATTGTTTTTAACTTATATTTAGACACACTATTTTAAAATAACTAATTATTTATATATCCAGAGTTTAAATTTTCAATCATTTCTATAAGTCATTATCACTTTGTTTTAATATCCTACCATTAATTTAATTAAAATATTAGAGTTTAATAATTTAATTTTTGTAAATGTACTAAATTTGATTCAAATTTATTATTTATTAAATGCATATGTTATGGACGTTTTTTACTTTGAAACTGACCTAAAAAATCAAACGATTTACATTTTGACACATAAAAAATAGGATTAACAAAATATTATTTAACTCGAAGGATTTAGTTACTGTTGCTCCTTTGATATCTAACAATCTTCAAAAAAATTTATTGGCGAAAGTACAACACAATGTCATAGAGAGATGTGAATAATAAAATAGTTACTACTTTAATAATTCACGATTTTGCAAATTTTTCAAATAAAGTCTATTGATTTTCTCATAAATAGTTAAGTAAATACAATTGGTACGACGATATCAAGCTTTCATACGATGATTTTTGCGGATCTCTCGGCTCTTTATTTTTTCTTTTTGTTTTTAGAGCACTCAACGTCTTCAACTGTATCGCTTGAGCGAGTATATTGAGTATTTCCCTAGTGATTCGAGATACGAATTCGTCTTCCAAATTACATTTACGTGCAAGTGACTCTCAACAGTTTCCTACTTTCGATAAAAGGAGAGCAAGTCTTATGTTATACTACTATATGTTATTTGAAAAATCCAAACGCTGTTTTCATCGGAAAGAATTCTCTTCTGCATATTGCGACGTAATTCGATATTCGTGACGTCGCAAAATGTCTTCTTTTCATATTATTCCTCGTAGTCTTCGGCATTTTATCTCTCGCATTCTTCAACATTTTTTCTCTTTTTCGTTGCCGTTCGATTCTGCGTCCGTATTACTAATGACATGTCCAATTATCATCAGCGGTAGGTGGTATCGTTTCCTCCTTCTTTGTTCTCACACTTTTTCCTCCCAGCTAGTATTTGCAATCGGTGGTCGGAAATAATATTGACAGCTTGGCGGTCGTTCCCGTTGACACTTGTCGAAAACGGATCGCGAAGGATGAAAATAAGCCAGCCGCGTTGCAATTAACGAACGTAGTAGAAACTGAGATTCCTATCGGATTCATGCAGTATGGATGCAAAGCGAAAGACTTGGTTGGCACCGATTGTATATACATGAGATAACGAGGTATCGATCAATATCTCATCGCTCGACGAAAATGTAATTTCGAATATAGAGATTTAATGAATAACTTCGTTACGCAGATAGAATTAACAGCATTTATTTATCGCAAAGTTTCAAAAGGCCACGGCATAATTAGATAGCATAATTTAATTTTAAACAACTTTTTTCAGAGAAAATAATATCATTTAGCAAGTAACATGGTCAAATAAATTGCAATATCATGTAACGTATATGATACTTTGTCAGCAATACATTTTGATATTATTGATCATTAAACACACATCTTTCGCTGACAGCGATAGTAACGTTTATCGCGTGACGAGTTTTGCACAATGATCGAGTATTGTGAACCATGCGAACTTTATAGTTCTCAGAAAATGTGTACATCTTCGAATTTGTCTTCCGCAGAGCAAACGATGCACTGGTTCGCCCAGATTGGTGGTGACGACTCTCTCTCTTTGACAGGTATGCTCGGGTTGAGCTCAGCGTGCTTCGAAATAACGATTGTGTGACTTATGTGTGGTATCTCTTTGCAATACTGAGAAAATCGCCGTGTTTGTTGCGTTGAACATCTAAAAGCGAGATCGCATCCCAATCCGTTGCGTATTTGTGTACAAAGACACGTCCAATCTTTCGAAATAATTGTTTATAAAGCGAAAACGGATATGTATCGTGATTCGTTTTATTACCCAAGGGAATCCATATGATTTTGCTGTTACTAACGAAAGATTAATGTATCCCAATGCAATAATTTTAATATAAAATTTCCGAAATTGAGATAATTTATATGTATGTTATAACTAGAAAATGCTAAATAAATTTATAAATAAATGCTAAAAATGTCTAATTACATCTGTTTGTATTCGATTTCACGTAACGAAGAATGTGACAAATCTTGATGCGAATTCTATTTGCATTTCGATTTGTACAAGGAATTTAACTAACTGTAAGCATGAGAATTGAATAATATTTCTGAATGTAAAAAATATATATAAATGTATTACAGGAGTATAAATCGTGGAATGTTATTTAACGACAAGTCGCAAAATGTAATGTTGCTATAGAATATAATATTTCCTACTTACGTTTATTGAGCCTATATCTCATAAAATATTATTTTTGCTAAGATATTTTTTAACAAAACTACACTGGAAAAGTCTGGTTGCATTAATTGGAATTTTGGTTGAAAATAGACAAATCAGAATTTTCTTATATTAAATCTATTATAATTTTAAGATAACCAGAAAAAACTCTGATTAATATATAATCAGAATCTTTTGATTCGTTCATTTTCAATCAAAATTTTTTCTCGCACTGCGATGTTAAACGTTTTTATTTTTTGGTCGACACGTACTATTTCAGAAGCTATATAAAAATCGAGTTTACCCTGCAACGAATAACAACGCTAACGAGTTTGTAATTTGACAATTATGTAACGGAGTGCATGTTCAACAAATAATAATTAACGCTTTTCAATTTGAAAACTAATCTTTTGATACGTTTATAAATTTAATAAACGATATTGTAAAAAATTTATCGCTATATCGCGATTTCTTAATATCGCGAAATATTATTACATTTACAAGTGAATTCTGTTTAAATGTAATAAATATGCGTTGAGTTCACTGTAAAAATGTATCTTTTCTATGCCCTAAAAATTTTAGACGAATAATCCTGACGCTATTTTCTTAATTAACATTTCTTTCTGAACTGTCAGTATAATTTGACAGGATTTGTATAATATTAAATAAAATACTTAAATAGAATATTATACTAAAATAGAATATTATTCTAAAATATTATAACATTTTCTGCACAATCTTCATCTTAATCCATTATTGATAATAATAAGATTAACTAGTAAAATGTGACATATTTTTTCCCTGCTGCGCAATTTTCAGCTCGCCTTGAGAGCTTCTTAGTGAATGCGGCTTACATTTTTAATATTCAATGAAAATGTGTTTTCTTTTCACATTATGCTAAGCCCGTTTTTTATCATATATATGAAACGTATATCTGAAGAGCAGATTTATTAGCTTTTTTCTTATGGCCTGATTATCTTTTCTGAAGAAATTGTAAAAGGCAGACAAAGATTATGGGATGAAAACGTCGCTTAAAGAATAAATAGGAATTGTCATTTTATGAAATGGAGATATTGTTGACGGCTATTCACTTATATAAGCTTACTAAGCAAAGAAAAGCCATAAAAAGATAACGTTCTTTATATGAACATTAAAAGAATTGGAATAAATTTATTATTTTAAATTGTATACTCCTCTTATTTTTAAATTCCTAATTATTTTATTAATGAAATTTTGTATTTACGTACCGAAAGTTATCTACCAGAACCTATCGATACTAACACCATCACGATTTATCCATTACTTTTTTTCGTTGCAACATTTATCCACAATCTTGCATTAAACACGAACACTCACGTGCATGCAAACCATCCGTTTTAACCGCGCGAGCACACATACACTGTATCACTATACACAGCAGGTGCATACCGTAATAACCATTTATTCATTCATTCATGCGTTCATTCGTACGTGCTGTAGTCTTATTAATATTTGAATCTTACGTGTACACGCACATGTCTCGCTTTCTTCTCGGCAGATGTGAAGCGCCCGCGAAGTCTCTACGACGAGGACTCCCTCGACGGCGATCGTCCTTACGACAATGAAGGTATTAACGTTTTCAAGGGCTGTACAGTTCCTTCTTTTTCCTCAGTATATTCTTCCTTTTTCTATAATACTAATGAAATAATAATGCCTTTTAACGCTAACATTCATATCAGTCAACGAATAACGATGGCAGTTGTAGTTGGCAGTATTGATTTTGCATACCTATACATATATTAACCTAATAAATAATAATTATTCGTGTTTAACATTATTTCTAATCGCGTCGTGTATTTTACCATAGTCTCTGATTAAATATTTTATTTGTAAATAGCTGTTTTTATTATCATCTTAATGTATTTTATATATTATATTACATATATGCATAGTATATATACTCGTATATATGTATTCGCTGTTTATTTTTTTATTGAAATAAGATTAGCATATTTCTTTAAATCTTGTTCCCATACCTACACATACACACACATATCCCGGACATATTTATATTTTATTATAAATTACTTTTAATAATCAATTTATGATATTTTATAGATAGTTTATATTACTTACGATATAATTTTTATCACATTTATTTTTGTTTAGAATTGTTTAAATTAATTAATATTAATTTTTATTTGCAAAACTTTCTATTTTATTTGTGTGTGATTTACAACAATTTTTTATAAAATTCGAAATCTTATATAATTTCGATTGTAAATTGTCTCAATGTATTTAAACCTGCTTAACTTTAAATTTATATTATAATACTAAATATATAATTAAACGAAACTGCGATTAAAAACTTCTTCGTATAACATTGTAAAAAGAGATGCATTGATCACTAATCGAATTCACTTATTCGTGGAAAACGATCAGTACAAACTAAGCATTTGCAATTAGTTTTAACAAGCGGATACTGTATATTTTTATTTTGCGTGATTCACAGGACGGGAGTCGACGGGAAGCTCGAAGGAGTTGGACAGGGCGAAGCTCGTCCGCGAGAGACAGAACGAGGAGCGGCAGCGGAAATTGGAGGAGCTCAGGCAGCAGGCTCTCGCCGCGCAACGCTTCCGCGAACAGCGTGAGGAAGAGCGACGAAGACGCATCGATGAACTCAGATCGCGTGATAACGACAGGTTTATCGATTTAAAATGTCGTAATTGAGAAACTTTACAATTGGTCCAATGAATAAATTAATTCGTTTATTTTTAATAATATAATAATTTGTTGTTAATTTTCTTTTTGTTTGACTCTTACAATGCCATTTCCATGTTTATAATGTTAATTCGTTTAATTTTAGATAAAGAATTTGAGAAGAACAAATTTGCAAATCCTTTTCCGCTTAAATTACGAGTATCTTGATATTTTGTTGAATGAAATTAATACAGTTATACGTAAAAAAGGAAATGATCTAGTCTCTTATCTGTAAAAAGTTCTATCTGAAATTATAAGTCTGTTTCCTGCTAAAACTCTTTTTCTCGCTTTCGTCAAACATATACCTATTTCACTTTAAATTCAAAAATATGTACTAGCTCAGCCACAAAAAACAGACTTAAAATGTCATGTTCCCTCTATAATTATATTTCGTCGCTTTCTTGTACAGACGGAATCAAGTCGAAGAGAGAAAACGGCTGATATGCGAGGCGGAACGAGAGAGACGGGAGGCTATCCTCCGCAAAAATCAGGAGAGGGAGGCACGTATCGAGGCAAAGAAGAGGAATGAGAGGTCGCACATCGTTTTCGCATTTGGCAGCTCCACACCGAGAATGCTGGAGCCCGCCGATACTGGCGGCTCTACCTTCTGGGGCACCCGCAGGGCCACCTCCACCACAAATGTCATGATGTTTTCTGCTGCGCAGCCACTTACTAGGCGATCCTCCGAGAGGGAATTGGATGGCAGCAAAAAACGGGCCACTTCCGCTGGTGGACTCGACCGGAAACCGGGCGAAGGTCAGTCAATATGTTCTTTCAAAAACCGATCGACTTACGTCAATTCACCAAAATTCACTAAATATCAATTGGCAAGAAGGCGATGCAAGCACATTAGCTGCACATCGCACGTGGAAATTCGATTAACCCTTTCAGCGCGCGATGTTAAACTATTTACATACTTGATCTCGTTTCTATTTTGTGAAAACTGTTCTCAATCGAGAATCTACCTTCTCTGGTAGACTTCATAGAATTTGAAATATTTCTGAATAATTTCTCTCTTCTATAATATTAATCTATATACAAAATGCAATTTGATTCAATCAATGTTTGCACAATAATTTTATTCTCTAAATATGATCTATATACGTCACGAATATCGATCAATTTTAATCTTGATTGAATAAATCTCTCGTATGTTTTTTAAAACCAACATATAAAATTTTCTATCTGTATTTTAAAGTGCGGACAACTGTTCATAAATAATATTCTGTAATTTATCACAGAGAGTAGATTAAAATATATGACTATAAGAAATATCTCATAAAATATAAATATATAATATGAAATAACTCGGCAGCAGCTGAAAGCGTTGAAGGCTTTTCCGTCTCTCGCATACGACGAGTAAATAATACACGCGTGGTATTTATTTTGCACCGTGCACCGGTAGAATGCAAATTAGTATTTACCGTAAATTCAGTCGGGCGTCGAATCAACAACGATCGTTGATACGAACATGTATGATGAGCGACTCGGAAGTGGATTTACTTCAATGTGAGTATAAATACGGATCGGAATACTTAGTACAATATATACTATATATCGCATAACGAGAAAGGTCGAGATCGAGCACCTGATTAACGTCAGTTAAGTCATCTTACAATTAAACATACGACGGTATTTTATAAGTTAATCTTCCATGATGATGTTTCGGAAGTTGTTATTCGAAGCGAGATAAATCTGATGGTACGTTCTAAAGGGATAAATCGTATCGGTGAATTCACGTCTCGTTTCCATTTGCTTGCTCCACCCTATTTGCTCGAACGTCCGGCATATATATTGATGATTGATGTTTGTCGTACAGACCAACAATCGTTCTTTCTGTCGCGGATTCATGAGGGATGTGTCGTTTAATCACGTCATCGCTTCTAAAATATGTCTATGTCATGTTGATTTTCAAAGCTAATCGGATAAACGATACGAAGAAGCGATTAGTGTCTTCTCGCGGCTTATATGGTACTTCACGCTTCATTCTGATATGTTTAATAATGATATATTTTTCTCATTCTTAGTAATAATCGATACCACTATTTACAAAGAAAAGATTCCATTGCAAGAGATAAACAAAATTTTATAGAGTATTTACTGTAAAGTTCAAACTGTTCACTGCGTTGTACCTCTTATGGTATTATCATAATGTAGAATGCAAACAGTAATTAAAATAATTGTATTTAATAAAATACATGAATTTTTATGATTATGGAAATTAATGAATAGCTAAAGCGATTAAATTACTTCTTTGTAAAATTAAATTGGTTGAATAATTGAGTTGCGTTTTTTAAATTCTCAAATAGTCGATAAAATAAAAAAATATCGTTCTTGTATGTTACAAATTGTATGCAATTGCGAAGATGACACCGCGAAGAAAGAACGATTGTCCAGCACTATTAGAATCTGTATCGCGATTTTGTCCATTGCATAAGTTTTATATTTGGTTCTTTACTTTCAGATTACACTCTCTACAGTCTATTTTATGTACACTCTTATGGCAATATTCCTTTAAATGACAGTCGAATTCACGTATTTTCAGCTTGAGATTGGTTACACAAGCGAGTCTTGAGAACGTTTTAAACCCCGCGATATAATTCGCAAGTTTTGCTTTTTACGCGATATCATTTATATTTACTATTACACTGCACACACAGATTGCTCGGTTAGTATTCACCCTGTAAACGTCACATCATCATCCACATATTTTTCCCTCTGTCCGAACATTCTCTTTTTTTTTTTTTTCTTTAACAAAATAGCATTTTGGAAATCACTGGTAGGAAACGGAAAGTATAATAGGTACATATTTCTTAAAATATCAGGAAATAATTTTTAACTGTTGGGGTTACGTTTCCTCTTTGTACTTCTGTCCTTTTTATGATTTATACTTATCGGTGATGGTTCTGCATAGTAAGGTGTATGGAAAATAAAATAATAAGGGAAGGCAACATGTGTGCGATTCGCACTGTATCTAACTCACGCTGATACCTATGCTTTCCCAACTTATATCTCTCATTATCCCGATCTTATTTTATTCTCGGAAGACTTTTCGCGGAACACCTAATATTTGCGTTGCGTTGAATGGTTTGTTCGCAGATATGAGAATGTCCTCGTCCATGTACGAGGTATTCAATTGGAATTCTAGCCCCGATCCCCCCTTAACTCCTGCCAAGCATAAGAGAGCCAGCCTCTCTCTGCCCCCCACAACTGACATCTTTGCCGTCGATGATAAGTCCGATAGCGACACTAGGCGTCCCATGATTCAGCGGGTTGCCAGTGGTGAGTCCTGATCTCTCAGAAGCCTGCAAGAAAGCCGGGAGAGATCCGTTTCTGTTCGTCATAAATATTGTCGATCCTTTATCTCTCGTTTTGTTTAGCACTTGTTCTCTCATCGGATTCTCTCCCTTTCTCTCTCGTGTTCTACGCCATTACGTCTTTCATTTACTTCACCATACACTCTATCCAACGCATGTAACGTTCATTTAACACTGTAAGAACATATTCCGCGCACTTTCTCTTATACCATGGTTCCTTCTCGATTGCATGATATTGGTATCAGGAGGATTTTACGATTTAATCACTTGTAAGTGAAACCACGTGGCAACCAATATCACGCAATAATTAGTTTGTCTGTCCGTGTGCGGTTCCTATTAATCTTATTACTGACACGAACTAACCACTAGACACTATTAATATTTAGTTGCAACGTGCATTTTGCAAACCGAACCTTTAGTTGTTAATATGTTTGTTAGTACGTTAATTGATATTTGTAATACGTTAATCAATATTTAGCTCAGTGTTATTTATTGATGAATTCGTCTCGATACAATCTAATAGGACGATTATCAGTCACAATCAATTTTTCATTTGTTTCATTAAAGCATGTACCTCAATTCAACGTTCAAAATAGTTTTAAAGTCAGTTTATTAACAATTACATATATAACTTAAAATATATTCGATATAATTTACTATGTAATAGAATTTAAATTGTAGTTTAGTAATAAAAGATAGAATAATATTATTGCACGTTATAACAAACTATAGTGAAAATTTAACTCAATTAATAATGTTAATTCGTTAATTGACTTATAATCGTCAATAAGTATAAAGTTTATTGCTTGCATAGATGGGTTCCTTGCTGTGTTTTTATAATAGAATTTGTTGGATTAACTCTAATTGAATGTTATCTTTAAATGTTTTTTATGTGCTACTTACAGAAAACATCGTAATATATGTATTTCCTTTTACATATAAAATATGCACATTAAATTTGATATCTGTTTAATATCCAAATAGTTATATGTGCTTTAATACATGAGTTACGTACGTTGAGAGAATATTTCTTATCAAATAAATTCTTCAAAAAATATATTTTTTTATTAATAAAAATCTCCTCTCTTCAATTATTTATATCGAAAATATACTAATTCTTAATCACATTGAAATTTCGAGCAAACGCGAATATAATATACTTTATAGTTCCGCAAATAAAATATCTCTCAATGTACTTCTTTTCGCATTATCTTCACACGCCACAGCATGAAAAGCAACACAATCGCAAAGAAATAGCAAAAAAAAAAAGAGATGAGAATCTGAATGCGACCGAGTTGGCGCGTCAGAGAAACTCTTTACTTGAGTGTGCTTCTCCGTTGAGCAAGCCGCGTAGCGTATCCCTACAAATCGACGGACGTCGCTCGTTTCGTAGTACGGGCGACACCCTAAGCGAGATTCTTTGCAGGTGATGATAGCGACGGTGGCACGCCCAGCACCCCGACCTCGGTTTACCTACGTGTGAACAGGAGACGCACCGACCTCATGCCGACGATACCGTCCCCGCGCGACGGCCCGCCGTCGACGGCACGCAGCTCCAGCGCCAAGGCCTTCACACGTTCGCCAGGTAGGACTTACTCCATGTCCAGGCTGGATCAGCTGGCGCAGCCTAGGAAACGCACGATCGAGCAACAACTTGGCACGTTGGCGGAGCAACAGCAGAGCCAGCCTCTGCAGAGCGCTTCTAGCATGAGTCGCAGCATGTCGCACTTGGCCGCGCCCGGAGGAGCCAAGAGTCTAAAACGCTCCGATAACTCGCGTAGCATGGGCACGCTACCGGGCGCGGCACCTATGCCCAGACCCACTCGCGCCGAAAGATTACGCCGAAAGGCTCGCGAGCACCAGCAGACCCAACAGCAACAAGGTAAGTGTAACTGTGCACTCAACTCGACTACTTCGAATCCTTCATTAAATCGAGCTTCTGTACATAGCAAAAGTATCTCCCACGATTTCCGAACAAATTAATCGATAGTTTTTCCATTCTTTGTATTAAGAAAGTGTAGAGATTTATTCTTAATGATATAGTTATAAATCAGTAATTATAGTTAATAATTATACAGTATAATTATAGTTAAGCGATAACTCAATAATAGATCGCATTCTTTGTTCATATAAAAACTACAGTTTTATCAATTTATCTCGTAAGAATATTCAATATTTTCTTTATGTGATATAACTTTCTTCGACCAACATTGTAGCTTTTTTCAGAATAATTAATCATCCGCTTTGTACTAATTTTCTAGTCGATTTCTCTGTCATTGTATATAGTCAAACTGATCATTGCTTAATGACAAGCTTCGTAAGCTAGATCGGCATATGGTTTTTGATAAAATGGGAAACGATATTATAAATCAAAATTGAATAAAAATACAGCACATGAATGCACTCATTGTCTAACAAGAGAACTTCATTCAGAGTTGGGTGCACACATGTATGAATAAGTGTAAAAAGGAGTCTTTGTAAGTCAATCGGGGATGACCAACTTTATTTCACAGCGTAAACATAAAATGAAAGATGTTCTTCTCCTGATTTCGAGTCGCGAAATGTATTAATTATTCTAATTCAACATACATTGGTACACTTTTTTCTATCTATAATACTATCTCAAAGGTAATTAACCCATCGATTTTCAAAAGTCTTTATACTTTTTAATATTATATTTTGATGGCAGACTCTTTTGTCACTTTTAACATCAAGAGCCGGTTGTATCAACAACCTGCATTAATTAAAGAACGGCTGAATTAATAATGTAGAGGAATCCGTAGAGAGAATCTAATTAAACATTGTCAACGCGATTTTGACGCAGCCGGCTCTTTGACTTCCGAATTGATTAATAAAACGCTCCTGAGGAAGATCTGTCAACGGCTTTTCGGTACCACGGGTGAAGGTATGAGCTAACATCCCGGTAAGCAGCACGTTTTTATATCTTATTACTCGTATATCGCTATATAACTTATCTTGCAATTCACTTTGTTAGTATTATATATGTATATATTCGTATTTGGTGTGCAATTTTTATTCCTAATTAATTTACTTTTTATTCAGTTATTATTCTTATTTTTAGTCCACTCTTTTTTGTACGATTATAATTTATTTTTTCTTACTCTGTTGGCTTAATTTTTCCTATCTGTATTGGCTTATTCTTTTGTTTTAACTGTATTCTTTTCCTTCTTTTTTTTGTTTACACTGACGGATTGCACTTGAACGTCGGTGGCGGTGCTTGTGTTTCTTGTTCACCTGCTACTCCTCGCGTCCGTCACAACAACTTCACAAGCGCGATACGATCTCAATATGCAAAGTGTGAAAAATACAAACGAGAAATTCATTTGCACCGCCGTGCTTGTCTATCGAAAAATCTACGCGATCGCGTTCAAGTTTCCAGCGAAAAGATCAACAAATTACTTACCTTGGATGGGTACACGTAGGTATCCGTAGCGGCGAAGTGACACCCAACAGCCCGTCCCGACCGCACAGCTCCATGAGTCAACAGAGTGCCAGCAGCGTGGGCAGCAGTAACGTCAATCTGCGTATCCGCACGGCCGCGTCGCGCCGACCGCGACCAGCTTCTATTGCCGGTACCGGTGTCTCGGTCACAGAAAAACACAGTGAGCATGCCTATTTTACTTCTCCTTCTATCGGCCCTTTTACATTTTCCGAGGATCTGCAGCGAAGGAACTAAAGAAAAAAAAAAAGAAAAATGATTAATTTAAACTGTATCCTCGATTAACGAAAATTGTAGAGCACTACTACAGTTGGAGTAATTAGGTCGAAAAGGAGATAAATATAAAAATCACTTTTTTGATAAACAGCCTGTAATCTAAATATCCTAAAAGGTACATACATGCATATTATACTTGTCTAAAGAACATCACAGCTTTATCCGAAATTTTTTTCTTCGTATATCTTCTCTTCTCTTGAACAATATTGTATATATTTTTGTAGATTTATATTTTTTTTTTATAAAATTTATATTTTATTATTTTTCAATGAAATTTTGTTTTTAAATTTCTATTCCCAACCTCTTGTATATACATATTGTTTTTATTCACGACTGCTAGAATTGCACATGTAAATACCATATGTAGCCGAGAAACTTTACATGTGAAAGAATAGAAAATATCTCGAACGTTCTCATTAACGCAGATCTGGTGGACATGAAATTAACGAAGGATTCAAAGCCACCACTGCCAAAGGTCCATAGCACTCCAAAGAAACCTTCAATACCCAAAGTCGCGGAAGTGAGGAAGCCGACGGAGAAATTAATCAAGAACGCCAAGTCCTCACCGCGAATAACTCCGAAAGCGACACCCCTACAGAGTCCTGGAGCTGAGCACGCACCATTCATTCGCGAAACTAACGTGGAGATCATAAAGCAAGATGAAAATAAAGAGACGCAGAATGTGAAATCGGAGGATAAAAATGAGGAAAAGAAGGATCAGGGTAGCGAAAAGACACAGGTAAATTTTAATATATAATACTATATAATTTTATATAGTAAAAGGTATGTATTCAAATTTTAATTTTTTTTCATTTTTAACAACAGGAAGCGAACGTTGTCGAATCTATAACTAATAATACAAAGATAGCGACAGAACCTGTGTTGGCAAGCAAACAAGTTAAAGACGAGACTAATTTAATGCAAGAAAATCTATCAGGTGCTATTGCGGAAGAACCGCCGAAAGTCGTTAAAAAAGAAGAGAACAAGCAGGAGAAGAAATCGCCGGAGATAACTGAAATCAAGCTTGAAGGTGAAGCAGACGAACAAATTGACATGTCAGGTATGATTAATCAAAATTTTATCGATGTCGAGTAATCGTTTGTTACAAACTCTTGATTTAATGGGGAATCTTTATTTATATTAATGATTTACTTTACAGCTTCAATGATCGCGAAAATCAGAATCACCACCGAAGAGGAAGCAAAAGCCGCTTTGGCTGAGCGTAGAAGATTAGCTCGAGAACAAGCGGAACGAGAAGCGGAATTAGAGCGACAGCGACAGGTACATACCATTTACAAAAACAATTTAATATTAAATCAATTTAGTTTTTACATCTGTCGTTTTATATATAACAATTTCCGCAGGAGGAAGAAGCACGTCTAGAAGCTGAAAGATTGCGCGCGGAGGAAGAAGAACAACGTCGTCTGGAGGAAGAAACTATACGCTTAGCTAATGAAGCTCGAGAAGCCGAAGAACAGCGATTGCAATTGGCAATCGAAGAAGCTAAACGCCGTGAGGAAGAGGATAGAAGAAAAAGAGAGGAAGAAGCTCGTCAAAAACAGGAGAAAGAAGAAGCAGAACGCAAAGCAAGAGAAGAAGCAGAAAAGTTGGTTTAAAGAATCTTCTCCTTCTTTATCTTTTTTGAAATTTCATAATTACGTGATGAGTAATATTCATATATTTAAATTACAGACAACGAATCGAGATGGCTGAAAGGCTTAAGAAGGAAGAAGAGGAGCGCAATGCCAGACGTAAACGAGTTGAGGCGATTATGCTCAGAACTAGAGGCAAAAATCAAACCAATACGTCTACCAAGGTAATATTAGAAACATTTATATAAATATATTAATACTATTACTATTAAATTAAAAAATTATTCAAATTAATTGTATTAGAGCAATTTATTCAGACTGAAGTTTATATACAAAATAATAAATTAGCACAAAATTAAAAAAATAATCTTTTACAATGAATATGTACAGGGAGAAGGCGGTGATGGTGATAAGCTAAAAGAAGACAGCCCTACTGACGAAAACAAACCGATGCCGGACGGTAAAGGCGACGACGTCATGACAGCTAGTTTAATTTCCGAGGCGACTCAGCAATTTATCAGCGGCGAGCAACGGGCGCATCACACAGAAAACAGTGTACCTACACCTGATATAGTGCACAACGGCACAACACATAGCAACGGCATTAACGAAAATAAAATTGTATTGGATAATAATCAGGGTAACGTTGAAGAAGAATTGAACGGTCATCATACGAATCATGGGAACGGTATCAACAGTCAATCGATTACGCTGGACAATGCCACTGTGTAAGTATACTAATTCTAAACCACGGAATCATAAGCGTATTATACCTTCGTCGACCGAGAGTTAAAAAAAATATGCGTCTCTTCTCGTTAGATCGATGGACAATAATATACCATAGTAATAGCTTGTTTTTTGTGGTAACGCGCATTTAATTGGGTATTGAGGCATATCATTTTTGACGTGATTCAAAAGCGTATGAGATCAATTTTAGATGCAAAATATGCTGCTAAGATCCGATTTTATTATACGATTGAAAAATACATATAAAAACTAATATGTTGGAGATACGAATGTAATATCAAGAACATTTAACTTTTTTGCGTAATAGCGAAAGTATCTTTTAAACAAGATAAAAAAATAAACTTGAACAATCTTTTATTGTATTTAATTAATCAGAAATTATTAATAGTTAATTGCGAAATAATTACGAAACAGATAGGTAATGTGCAATATACGAATCACTTACATTTTTATAGGGCATAAGTAATTGCACGATACTAGCCAACATACTATTTAATTCAAATGGACTGATTATCACAAAGTCAAGAAATATACTCGATCGGAAAAAGAACTTAAACCGTTAAATAAATATCATACACATAAGATATTTGACTAACCCGCAATAAAAGATCAACTTTTAAATATTGTACGTAAAACGAATTAAACGTACAAAATTCTTATTTACATAATATGCAATAAAAAGAAACCATCTACGCGTTACAGAAAATTAAGAAGTCAAATATTACTATGGCATCTATTAAAAAGAAAAATTTCTGTATAAAGATTTTTTGAGTACCCTGTATAACTTAGAGAATACGTGCCACGCCAAATGTATTAAATTAAACATTGTAAATTAAACATTGTACGCTTTTATTTGTAAATAGGTGTGATAAAAGTTCTATGATGTAGAAATAAATCACAATGAATTATTATCGCACCATAAACAGATTGATTATTTCGAATTTTAGATTTGTACACATACATAGAGGGATTCTATCAGATTCCGAACCGGCAAGAGGGATTCTATCAGATTCTAAAATGGCAATTATTTAAAACTTTTATTTATAGTTAAATGTAAAATTGTTAGATGTATTCTTAAAAGCTTTATTATGAAAGGCATTGTATATATAATAAATTGTGTTGTTTATAATTATGTCTTGTAATGTCGGTTAACTATTGAAGTAAATTAAGTTTCAAAGTTATATATATCGTACATACATACATACATACATACATACATATATATATGTGTGTATCGCTTATTTGCTACAATAATGATATAATTTAAAATATTAAACTTTCTAGTAAATAAGAATGTTTTGAATCAATAAAATTTTGTAAGTAATATTAATTTTAAAATGAAATGAAATGTAAGAACTGATCATAAAAAATAAAAGTATGTTTTTAAAGTATATTTTTCTTTTTTTGCAAATAGCTAAGGAATAACTAAGGAATTTTTAAGTTATGTTATTGTAGCAAATGAATAATATGTACATTATTATAAACAGTTATTTAGTAAAAAAAAGTTTATACTGCGCTTTCCTGAGACATCTACAGGAAGGAACTGCCTATCGAAATTAATTTCACCAAAAATGTATATCGCTTCATGCAAATATTCTGAATAACTCATGCGTATTGTACATTGCAAAAGTAGTCAGAATAACGGTTGACGAGCATAATAAGCACGCCATTGCGAACTCACCGTTTATGATATGATTAGTTGCACGATTAGCAACATTTAATCAATAATAAATCATGTGACTAACATTATTGTATCGCGGTGATAATGAGATTGCAAATATGAGAATGTATATTGTATATCACCTATTATAATAATAGTTACATATATTTTATAATTGATACTCAGCTATGTATTAACGATAAATTTACATACTATTTTTAGCTAGATTGTCAAAAATAACGGGAATCGCGTACTTTGATCGTCATTAGGTATTATATGATCGAGTTGGAAGGACGTTATGTAATATCGTACACAAAATATGAAAAATATTAACAAAACTGCAGAAAATACATTTAGTGTTATTATAAATCACATAAGACAAATACATCTCAATATATATAATGTAAAGAGAAACAAACGGCATAAATCTAATGAGTCATCGAAAAGTTTCGTTTTGTGATTTCACAATATACCAACTCAGCAAGGATGAATAATGCTAACATGACTTTTGCAAAGTAGCAAAATAATGATGTATTACAGTTACATTAAATGCAATTAATATTTTCATAGTATAATAAGTATATATATAATAATTTGTAAATATCATCTTTGCTGAGTATCTTTCTTTGATCTTTCCTCCAATTAGCTATTAAAAAGTGTTTTTCCATTTATTGACCTGTTGTGTATACCGTAAGTGCGACTGATTTTCGTAACAATCTCTGCAAATCACCAATGCATGTTAACTAACGTTGATATGGTGTGGCTTGTTCTTTTCCTTGCACAATGATTGTCTGCGTTCCTCATGCTTGTGTGTATTGTATACCAAGCGCGGTATATGTCAACTTACTGCCTACTTTTGCTATGTACTATTTACTTCCACATGTTTTCCGATATAGTACTTTTTCATGAAAAAACGTCTCTTCATGCACACCACGTCCACGAATCCTACACAAAGGTACCCGTATAGGAAAATAAACGAAAAAAGAAGAAACCAAACGTGGCATGAATTTTCTTCTCTAATATATCTTAATCCGACGAGTGTGATTCGATCGAATGTGATTCAATTTTTTATGTAATTAGATCTGTATTTGCTGTTTTGCTGTAATATGTTCTAGCAAGCTATGATTATTATAGTTACACAGTTGACATGTATATCAATTTAATTAACTGGTTCCCGTAGTTATTTAAACAAAAACCTGTTGCGATCCATCAACAAAATAATACACGTAATATATTAATTATTTTTTATTCGGCCGAAGACAGACGAAACATACAATATATAATGAATATTACTAAGGACCGCAAAAGGTTGTCGATTATCTCGGTTAGTACTGCTACGCATAAAAGCAATTTCTATCAGACTTTATCGCTTATAATAGTTGTTTATATAGTTACATCAAAATAGTTGCCTCTCAAGGCATTTAAAGTCTGCAATTTGAAAAACAGTTATATATGATCAATGACGCAGAAGAACGATCGACGCATAAGCGCTTTATATTTATCCGTTATTTAGTTATTTTTATCTAGCTTTATATCATTCAGTTGATGACATTTTTTAGATGTACATATAATCGCGAACTATGTTCCTATCCGACAAAATCTGAACCCGTTTCATTTCGTTTTAGCGATTCAACTGAAGGTATTAATGAATCGTTCGCAATCGGCTTAGCTAATTTAGCGGCGGCGATTCCGTGTTAGTGATCGTGAATAGTCGCTTAAGTCGTAGTCCCTAAATCCGTATGTCTGGCTGTCAACTTAGTCTTTGTATGTTTTTTATTTGGCTCGTTTTGTAGCAAGCAAAACAACGTGACCAACAACCTGTTAGACCTGTCGGACTTCGATACTCTGAGTAATAACAGTACCGGCTACGATACCGGGCCGATACTCGAACTGACGCCCAATTTGGCGAATGAGGATACCCTCAACTCCAATCTAAATCCGGCGGCGATACCATTTACCCCGATGGGGTTTGTGCCCGCCACTGCTAATGCCAATATCAATCCGTTCCAGGACAATTTTATCAACAAACCACAGGATAACAATCAAGTACCAGGTAAGCCAAAGTCTTTATTCCATTTTTAATTATTTAATTTTTTTTAATGAGCAAAACTGGAATCATGATTTTATAGAACCCACATATTACAACTATAAATAAACTAATACATTATTTTAATCGAATATATATACATACATGGATAATAGACTTCTGTATAAATGCTGTCTCTGTTTTTATTCGCAGATCTACTATCATAAAGTGTCTCTTAAACGTTTCCGGACGAACAAAAAAAGAGCAGTTGGGCAACCATAACCGAATTGCTCATAACGAGCAGTAGCTATATTCGGAACGAGACGTTGTTGTTTATGATAATGTAAATAACCGCCGTCGCGCGACGTATCATGTGTAAAAGGGATATCTCGGTGAAGCGAGAATGAGGGCACAAAGACTATCCCCGTGTCCGACAACCATGCCGAGCTCTGAGCGTTGTCACTGGGAAGATGTGTAAAATATAATATATAATATTAATTGATTATTATTATGCAACAGCAAGTATGGACACTCAATCTGTGTGTCGTAGTACGCTATTAGACAAATGTAACTTTCTAAAGGAAGGGGATTGAGGCCTATTTGTAACACATCATTTTCGGATGTTCATTACACAGACATATTTTACGATAACGAATGACATGAAATTATTTTTTCTCTCACATACACACGCAATATACATATACACACACGACTTTACTCTTATCACACATACATGCGTGTGTAGATTACAAGTAAGATTTTTGAGACGTTAATTAATAGAGATGACAAAATTGGAAATTGTGCGAAGAGTAAATGACGAATAAACATAACACAAGACGCAAAAGAAGAAGAGAGGTAAAATAGAAGTCAGATCAAACGCTGAGAATGTATCTGCCAAAACGATGGATTAGAGAATGTCCTTAATATATAAGATAACGTAGCATGGTATTATCTTATAACAATTTCACGAGCAGATCTAAATGCGTTATCGAATTCAACATAAGAGACATTCTGCAGATACGAGATGGGGAAAAGTAGATAGAAAAAGTGAAAACACTTTTCTTCCATACCAGATTTTGGGGCGTGCGCTCACTAGTCAAGCAATCTTACTGTTTTTTTCTTCTTTTTATTGTATTTCATTTAGAGGGCCTACTTAACATTGGTATATACTCTAGGTATTTGCTAGATTTCACTATCGTTACGTTTTTTTTTTTCGCGGATCGTGCATAAATTCTCTAGCTGTGATGACGAAGACGATAATGCTGATTGCTTTGTGAGATAGCCGCTGCATAAGTTAACGGTGAGTGACGATCTAGTAACGTTAATTGTAAGAATTGTTATGTGAGAGATACTACGGATTTAATTGCACTTTATTCGACGAAGGTAAATATGATCGATACCTCGACGTGCGCGCGTTAATGCATAACATAAAAGCGAATATCTGCAACATCCAAAAAGTGCGAGTTTTAATTGTCATTATTTGCAACATAAAAATTCTGAGACGTGGAATATATCGATAGCATGCTCTATATTTTGCGCTCGCCCTATTTCACGATATCATATAGAGTTCGACAAATTATTTATAACAAGGATAGAGAAACGAATATTTCTGTTATCCTGATTTTGTTCGGAAAACATGATCGAGAGAAACTAGAAAAATGATAGGATTAGTGTACAAATTGTTTGTTATTCAATTTTTCTCGTACATTTACGCGCGAGATTTATCTCCCTTTCCCCTCGCTCTTTACTTTATTTACATTTTATCATAATCGGCGTAGAGGATTTATCGAACTGATATATTATAAAATTGAAATTTTCTCGTTAATCAGTTTAAATTCGAGATTTTTCTTTGTTCGCATTTGCGATTTGTTTTTTCGGGCGCTGGGAAAAATTCTATCGTCCACGAATAATCAATATATTTTCTTATAAACGATTAATATATATTTTTATTGATAGTTGTTAGAGCGAGTGTATTTGTACAGAGTTACATCGCGAGGCATTTATTCGTACACCGAAAATGTCCTGATCACTAAAAAGAAAAAGAAGCAAAAAAAAAAGCGTATACACATAAACCATGCAAAGTGACAGACTTATTGACACGTTTTATCGCCCGTTCTCACATGAGAAATTGTTTCTGCATTTGTCTTGTAAAAATTTCAGCTGTAACGAATTTGGAAACGTCCGATTTGTTACGACTTATTGTATGAAACTTATTTATATTAGTTCTTCTTTTAAATATTTATTAATCGTTTGGACACCGTATATTACCCCTGCGTCACGTGTACACTTATACTATTTTTATTAGATTTGGTTGAGATTCTATTAAAACTATTCTAAGAATACCTAATAATAATGGTAATTAAATAGAATACGAGAGAATGTTTCTAAATATACAATAACGAAAAAAAATGCTAAATATCATCAGTCATGTCTAAAGAAACAAATACTTCATATTGTAAAAAATGCTTGTATGTAATAAATACTTAATACTGAAAAAAATCCCAGAATTTGTACTGATTTTGCATGCCCTTTCCTTTTTGCTCTACGACGCTTGTACATGATTATTCTGTTTAATACACCACTCTGTAGAACATTGTAGTAATTTTACCTATTAGGACCAACTGCAGTTGTTGCGGCCATTTATAACGGTGTAGCGCGAATATTTCTACATTTCTCGCCGTCCTATAAACCTTTACCGAAACTAACAGATCCTCTCTTGGTAATGTAAACTTGCAAACCTCACGCAGTAAAATACGGCACAGCCACCGAGATGCATCGTGGATGCAACTCGTCCCTCGAGTCTCACACTCGCAAAAATTAATGCTTGTACCTTCGTGCCTCTCGTGAATACGATGCTTTCTCCTACCTTTCTAACACAGAAAGTAGTTTCCCATACTAGACGTCTCCTCGCGTGTTCCTCCCTTTCGGAGTCTCTTCTTCAATTATTCATTGTTATCTCAAGAATCGTGTTCAACGGCACAGTGGAGACTATTCCTTTGTCTTTCTTATCGCAAACTTTTCTTCATTTTGTATAAAGTCATTTTTATTATTGTCAATAAAATATAAAGTAATTTATAAAGAGTTGTGTATACGATGATCTATTATATTATATATATGAAAAATTAAGATAAAATATCTTTATCTAAATATATTGCTTTTATTTTTTATATGAAATTATTGTTCTAATATAAAATTATTGTCATTTTTTAATATACATCGAGTTTCTATAAAATCTATAAATATATCTATTAAATCATGATTCATACTAATATTTTATAGAAATAAACGGAATACAGATTTCTTTGCTATATATAACAACTGCTATAAAATTTGAAGAACAATAATAGAGTGAATGAAATCATTTAGAGAATAACAAGTTATACGAACACAATTTTCAAACAATGAAAAGCCCATTTCGAGAGAATTAAGATGTACCTTTGTGTGAACCGGCAGTCACGCCGTTCAGCAAATTTACACGATGCAATTATTTGCTTGTCTGCGCAACTGTTGTTACGGCCGTTAATGTTAACACCATTAGGTATATAACAGCAACTGGAAAAGCGGATGGAATCATCTGTTTACTTCGTTTCTTCACGAAGAAGACGAGGCAAGGAAAAGGTTGCAGCCCGGGGGTTCGTAATCCAGCGCTTCATCGGCGTAAATTAATTAATCAAACGACGTAATACGCAGACTCCTGCGTTATTACGGAACGAGGAGGTGAAAAGGATCGCCTCTGGGCGAAATGAGGATTTCGGTTACGCGAGCAGCATCCTGTGGGTTCAGCGTTCCGGAAAATTAAACCGCGGCGCAAAATGAAACTTTTACATGCGACTATTTATCACAGCAAAAATGATATTTATGGCTCATTATAAATATACCATAACGTATAATGTGAAACTAAATGATAAATGGACAATCATACTTTTATTAGAAAGCATTTATATAATTAATTAATATTTAAAAAAATGTTATATTCTTGTATATATGTATTATTTTTTCTTTTAATTTATTAACATGATTTATGATTAAGCTGAATTTAAACAATAACGTATAGTTCCTAACAACACATAAAAAATATTTTAAGAGATAATTTATAAAAAGGTAATTCATTAAAAAATAGAATTTATCTCATAGAATTGAGGAAGTTCTAACGACATAAATATGCTAATTAATTATATGTACGGTTGCGATAATTCAAAAGTAAAAGATTAATGGTGCAAAACTTATAAACCAATCTCTAACCCAACGCAAATAGTATTGCTCGCGCAATTAAGGCGAACGCGGGACATGCAGTAATTCTTCGTTTAGCAAATCCACGGTATTAATTCCGTAAATGAATTTCACACGTAGCCACCGCGCGACGGGAAACACGCATTCGCTTAACGACGGGGGTGGTCCACGAATATTGTAATTTATGAACGGAAGAACTACCTCCTCCGTTTAGCTTCCATATGTGATCATGCGTTTTTCCCCTGGCATTCTAATTTTCATTCGCCTAGGCAGTCAATTATATTTAATCTTTGTTATTGTTATGAAAAGTCATTGTCAAAATATAATGTTGTTCATATATTATTCTCCTATACTATTATGTTTATCCTTTTATTACACGGAACGATGGCAAAAGACCTAAAATTTTGTTGAATAAAGATGATGAAGATCTGAAAATAATTTGTTGGATCATCAAAATAATTAGATTGAAAATTAAAAAGTGATGACCATTGCTACAAAAAATTTTTTAATTTAGCAATTGTTTCAGTTTTTAACAAAATTATTTTTACATCTCTGTATCCTAAATTTGTAATCTTTTAATAAAATTGTTCTTTCCGTGTAGTATAGATACAGTTAATATTTACTTTTAAATACAGTTACATCGATTTACAGTCTATTTATACATATAGATATTTCTTGTCGCGATCATCGTCATTTTTTCTCCAATTCCTATTTTTACACAATTGCCTTTTAGATTAACCTATTTGATTTACTAATTAATTTATATACATATATTCTTTCTTGATATATTAAAAACCCGAAAATGTTAAATGCCTGTTTTGAAGACAGAAGGCTGACGGGAGGCAGTCTCCAGTTTTCACAGTCAAGCGTGTAATCCAACAGCTTTGGACCAGCACATTTGTGTTGCAGTCGGAGAAACGAGCAAGGAGGAGGGGGGACAAATGGGGGCCCCATAATTTGCGGGTTGTAATACTGCGCCCGTCGTTTGTAACCTGTTCGAGACACGTAAGTACAGTCAAGAGAACAGCGTCGGGGAGAGAAGTAACTACGTAACCACATCGTCTCATTGAGGGGGATGTTTTCCTGGTTCCGAAACGGATGTAACTACTACCGCCCGCCTATGTGGCACCCTCAGAAAACGCATAGGGGTACTCGATCACCGCTTGCTTCATTCTATTTACGGCCTGCGGCCTTCAAGGTTTCGTTTAAATAATATATTACAAGCATATAGTTGCTTAACGTTGTGCTAACCGGTTCCGGCAAATTGCTTGCAATTATGATTCATCTTCAATTAATTACCTCTTAGATAATTACTTAATTTCTGTCTTAAAAATAATTTAAGAAATAGATGAACATAAAAAATATGCCGCAATGAAAAAAAATTCTGATTAAAAATATGAACCAAATTCTAATCATCATATAATTGGACATCTAGTTATCTCGACTATAACCAATAGATTTAATTAGATAACTTTGATTTGTTTATTTTCCACCAGAATTCCAATTAATGCAATCAGGCTCTTTTTTTTAGTATTTTCTTTTATAAAACTAATTTCAAATTAGAGATCTAGACAAATTTAACTGATAATATAAAATCTCATTCTTACGATGGATGAAAAGAATATTTTTTTGTGATTGAAAAAATTGCACGATATAATGGAGAAATTATTCAAATCAAATAGTATATATTGTATTTAACACAGAAACACATTTCCAATAATTCAAAGTTAAAATAAAATCTAATTAGTATCAAATTGTAGCAAGTGCAAATGAGAGTCGATGAGTCACATGAGAGTTATC